CGGCGTTACAGGGATTTGTAAACGGCTTTCATTTTTTTTGTTTTCCTTTTCACGACGTCTATCCGCGTTCTCGGGTAAAGCGGGCAGGCAGAAAACATGTGATAACAGACCTTGACACTCTTTCCATATCATCCGCTGCAACCTCAGTCAACAGAATTCCGCGGAAGAAAAAGGCTGGTTTCTTACAAAAACAACGCAGGAATGCCAAGACGCTATGGCGTTTCGTGCCACATGCCCAAGACCGGAAGAGCGGCCGAAGCACCACCGCCGGGGCATAAAGTATACGAGAGTTGAGTTGGTGTATGGTGACATACACCAACTCAACTTTTCTGTAAAAAAAATTATTATCCTCTTCAGTTTTTCAGCCTGCCGTGGTGTCGTTAGAAGTTATGACTTAACTTTGAAGCGCCGACGTATGGAAATGTTCTTATAACTTCATATTTCATTCGCGTTTAGTCAGACAACTTAAGTGACACACGGCGTGGCGAGATCCTATAGCATCTCATTATTGCTACAGCCAATGAGAATGCTGCTTAAGTACGCACGAACGCCATACAGTGAATCACGAATTGAGAGGCGTGTCGTGATGACTCACGATCTGCGTTTCTCAAGCCGTCGGTGACAACATGCTACAAAATGTCCGTATGCGTGGTTCCACTTCAAGTCCGACCGAAGTTCCGATTGAGCCAACAAGCAGCTTCAAAAAACGCATAGTCAAGGAGCTCGTTTTCTATGTGGATTTACAAGCAGCGATTATGCAATCACGCACAGAAATATATCGTACGGTCCAGGCGCATGCGTGATTGGTTTAGATGGTAGTAGCAAACGCAAAAAAAAAAATACAAAAACAAAACAAAACAAAAAAACGATGGAAGCAGTGACGATACACTTTTGGCGCTGCCTGATTGGCTCTCTAGGACCGTTGCGTCCACTGCGGTCGAGCTAAAAGTGAAACAAGGTATGGTTGAAGTTATTATAGACCAACTGAACTTTATGACGTCACACCAATCTGTTGGCGCTGCTGTCGGCATTGCGCATGCGCACATGCTTCGCATTGATGGAATCTGCTTTGTGCGCACGCGCAGTGCCCACACCCGGTGTGGGCAGACGCGGGCTTGTCTGAAAACAGTGTGTTGGCTGATAGGTGTACAAGAATAAGCACTTCCTTTAAAGGCTTGCTCGATTAGAGGCACATTGCTGTTGACGTAACCGATCATTGATGGGATCAACGTATGTGCGTCAATTTGTCACGCGTATAGGTTGAGCCCGAGACACTGTATACCGTTTGATTTCTCGATAACGTAGCCCCTCCCTCCGATCTGTACAGATACTTCCGTACCAACGCACAGTCTATCGGAACGGCAAGCCTGCCCTGGGAGGACCTACTGGGAAAATACTGGACGCCATTGCGGATACGATGAATGCGACGTGAGTTGTAGAAACATCATGAAGTCGAAACATGAAAGTCGAAACACCGTGAAGATTCGAGATTTCGGCAAAAGAACAGGGGATAAGCGGCGAGGGCATACCACAGCGAATAACTTTAGATTCTTTGTCCACGATGTTAATTATTTCCTGGATGAGAGGTCCTGTAACTTCCTTAAAGGGGGGGGGGGGGGGTGCAACGATTTTAAGATTAAAAGAATTTGCATCTCGTCATTTTTACTTTCTTTATCGTGTCCCAGAGGATAGAGAAAAGATCTCCTTCATCAAAAAAATGTCGTGATTTCGCTGCATAATCGCAAAGCAAAAGTCGAGCTTTTTCCTCCACCTGCAGGCGCGAGTGGCAGCCGAGGTAACTATGGCGTAAAGATTACGTGACTTCGCTCGGCTCTAAGCTGCAGCATAACGCCCGCTGATGCCGGCAGAGAGAGAGAGAGGAAGCGCCCTCCGAAGGAGTACACGGGAAGCTACACGGCATCCCGAGTAACGTCACTAGGAGGGGGACCAGGTGCGACCCTGAAGGCTGGGAGTGAGTTGAGGGTTGCCAGAAACGCCAATCTTTATCTTTTTTTTTTTTTTACAACTAGGACACTTAAGCGAAATCAGTTTTCTATTCTTTACTTCAGAAGTGTCAGAAAGCAACTTCCGCAAATTTTTGGCCGAAGTCCGGAAATCATTGCACCCCCCCCCCCCCCCCCCCCCCTCTAAGGCTGCTTGACAGATTTTTGGTGGTCTGACCGACTCGATTGGGTCCACTTGTCACCGCTTACGTGGAGAGAAAACACTGGCTCACTAGCGCCATCCATCGGGTCATCTTGGAATACCTCTAATCGGCGTAAAACCGAGCTGAATTTTTTTTTTTTTTTTGTATTTGGGAGAACAGATTTACGTACTATTTTACGAGAAAAGTCGGCGTATAACATTGCGAAATTATTTCCCACCCAAGGCGGAAAGATGGTGAGTACAAAATCGAGCAGTATACCCGGTGTTTCGACAAACGCTTTAAAAAAAAAAAAGAAAAAAAAAGCTATTGTGTTTGAGAACAGAAAACCTTAAACTGTTAGAAACGGCGAACATTAATGATTCCAAAAAGAAATACATACGCAATAAATAAATAATTGCATAAAATATATGTATAAACATTTCAATGAAAGAAATGAGACGTGATTCCAGTTCGACAACGAGCCCTGATAGAAAACCGAAACCAAGATACTCGTCCAAATTTCGCGTTTTTTCCGAACGCCGTGAGACGCCGTACATGTACCCTATACCTTTGTAAAATGAGTTGATTTATTGTTTTTCGATGATGCCGGACAGTTTTTTTTATTGAAACCCTATGTTTATCTTTACTAATTAAAACGTTAATAAATTTTAGGTAATTATTTGTAATTAGCACGTCTATTGCAACCCTTGATGTCCGCCATACTTGGCAGTTTATGAGTACCTTGCTTTCTCAACCACCCTACTGTTAAGTATTTTTTAAGGTCTTCGTTGAAACACTTTGCACGAGATAGATGGCGCCAGGGTGCCAGTATGTTCAGAGCTGTATATTGGGAGAGTTTGGTCAATGGGTGAAGCGAAGGCCGCCGCTGGCGCCGAATACTCCCCCCGTGGTTAGAACGTAAACTAAAGGTGCGACACAGTGTTGACCAATCAGCAGACCACGACGTCACAATATTGGAAACGGTATTTAAAGTATGAAATAGAAAAGGTCAATCTCGGTTTCTTGGTGACCGTTTGCGCTGGGCAGGCCTGCTAGAACAGCGTCTCAGCTGAGACCGGCAGAAAGAAAGCAGAGCAAAGGATGGGGCGCGCGAGCGTCTTGAGACGCGACTTGAGTCCCGCTCGGCTCGTGCGCTGACTTTGGCAGTGCTTTCCTTCCCCTAGTCTCAGCGGAGACGCTGTTTCTAGAAAGTTGGCCCTGGTTTGGAGCACACGTTCGTTCATTCCACCGTTGAATATGGACGTGACGAAAACCTCCCATGCGCCAAGTGTTCAGGCGCCAAGAGCCACCTTCTTACTCGAGCGACGCTAAAGCGGCTTTAGTTAGGCGAGTCGCATATTTAGAGCGTATGACCACCGCCAGGGGCTGTTTGGCGGCCTCTGGTTGGCCCCGAGATGCTCGCCTATTCAAACCAATGTATGGCCAAATTCTCCCAATACACGGCTCTGAGTATGTTTTCTTGTCAAGCTGTCCCAAGCGGGCCAATGCAGTGGGGCGAACTCAAACGCAAAGCGCGCGAAGCAGCCATTACTTTTTAGTACTTGTCCAATGGTTCAAGAAACTTTAGATTAGTCTGGTCCAGCCTTGTACAGTACTGATTGCAAGTTATCAAATTACATGTAATCCAATTTTTCTTGGGATAATTTTGAAATAACTTTATTGTCTTTATTATGTAGTGATCACAAGATTAATATGATGATTTTTGAAAGTAATAAAATTACGAGTAAAGGTTACTATCTTCCCCTCCTCTTCCAGAAGGATTTGCTGGTCAGAGAATTTGAAGTAGTTGTAAAATTAAGGGTTGCGTTTTCAAGTAACAGTCAATTATCCTTCGTACCAAGGAATCCTCAACGAATAAAGTCTCTGACATAAGGACGGTCTACTAAAATGGGGCGGGTGCAGACGAGGAGTAGTTTGTAATCCGGTTATTTTAATGTAATATTGAACAATATTAGATTAGAGTAAAATAACCGTTTTCAAATCGGCAGAAGGATTTGATGGTCAGAGAATTTGAAGTAGTTAAAAATTAAGGGTTGCGTTTTCAAGTAACAGTCAATTATTTTTCTTGTGAAGTAATCAAGCACTCTAAATAACTGCTTTTTAAGCAAAACTAAGAGTAACTGCAATCGATTATTTGTTTCTAGTAAAGTGTTCAACATTGGTCTGGGCTGCTCAAGTACGTAACTTGCGAGATAAAAGGTTTGGTAATGTTTAGGTCAAGATAGGATAGTTCACGTTAATATTAGTTGGGTTTTTCAAATTGAGTTCAATCCAGTTCGGTAGGTTGGATTAGCCTAGGTTAACATACTAAGTTAGATGATTATGGCGGATTGTGGGGAAATGATAGCTTCGCTATGCTCACGTCAGAGTATCAGGTATCTTTTATCTTTATTTTTTAGATAATATCCGGATGAGAGGCAGAGGCAAAAAGCTAAAAAACCTGGCGAGGCTTTAGACCCCCCCCCCCCCTTTTATAAAGTTCTTGACATGTCAAGGAACCACAAGCCAGCAGCTAAACACTAAATGTGAAAATAAAAACACAATTTGATCTGGATTTAATTGTGCAAAGGTATTTTAAGCGATTAAAAACTTAACTTTTCATTTTTTTAATAAAAAGAACATTACTCGCAACTCGCAATTCTCTAATGCTTTTCCTGGAATCGATCAAACAAGCCGGACACAAATCCGTGTAATTGGTAGTACTTGTGTCGACGAATCTCGACTAAAATTGCTCGTGCGCGGTTTCTCAAGCATTTAGAAATTCTATCACTGAAATATTTTTGCGTGACTAATTTGTAATTACAACTTCCCTCACGGGACCTGTCGTTTTCAGGTTTGAGGTGCGTCGCGTGTCGCACTCCAACTATGGCACTGAGTTGCCCAATGGAACATGGACAGGCATGGTCGGAGCTCTACAAAAAGGGGTACGTTTTGCTCGCCGTTTGGACAACCTGTTTGATAACAAATTTTTAATAAAATAAAACAACTAAATGTTGCGTTTAGCAGCGCTCCCTCTGATAGGGGCTTTACCGAAATATGTGATACGACAGTCGCAAAGAAGTATCGAAACTTGGTTGGGCACATAATGTGATCATGAATGGCCGATGAGACCTTAAAAAAAAAGAGAAAAAAAAAGCGCTGGGAGTGGCAAGTCTTGAGGAACTTTTTATCGCTTCGCAACCCATTGGATGTGTGCGACACCTGAAGGGGGCGCACCGCCCCTCCTTGAAAGCTGGTGTGCAGCGCCGCCGACGACAGCGTCCACATTACGTCGCATGGTGCAGTGCTACCCGCCCCGACCTTTCCTTGCGCTCCCGCAAAGTATTGGTCGCGTGTGTGCCCTGCAGCGGCCAAGTGTTACTCCATCTCGCTCCGGAGTAAAGGTTTTTTTCACCTTGACATCCAAAAACGTAGTAACGTCAAGCGTTGCTCTCTGAGAGTGTTTCGTATCATTTGAACAGCTGAAGTTGCTCGGAGCACGGGTTCAATAGTGTCCCCCGAAGTTGTAAATGAAAACGATGGGCACACACCGCCACATGTTTCCCCTTTAAAAGGCAGCCTCTACTTGCGTTGCCTTAGAACCATTCACCGCACATCGGAAATGTCTTTAGACCAGGGCTCTCCAAACTTTCTGGCTAAGGGGTCGGATCAGCGATCTGCCAGTCTCGAGTGCACCTCAAAAAAGAAAAAAAAAAGCGCGATTATAAACAAAGAAAAACGAAGTAATTAAGTCTAGATAAGTTTTTGAACACAAATGAATCGAAGAATAAGTGTTAAGAGAGCATCAAGATGGATGAATAATTATATTTTAAATTTAAATTTAATATTTAGATAAATATGACATTGCATAACACTTGTGACCAAGAAAACTCACACGCATAACTCAAAGCGCATGCGAACGTTAGCACATTCGCGCACCTAAAGAAGACTAATGAGAATGATAAAACTAATGCTGACAATATGCGATAGTCGTAACGTCGGGCACTAATTAAGCGCAGTGGTCACGAAAACGCAACAGCATTTTTTCATGGCTATACAGACACGAAGCAGAGGACTAAGAATGGCAAGCTAGTAATGACAAGGTTCAATTAATAATATGGCGTGAGGACCCGTGTTACGATGCAGTTTCTCTCGTTCTTTGTTGTATCTTAGTTTGCGCATTTCGAGCGCTTCGCGGAGCCGTTTTTTGACGCGCGCTGTTGCGCGACTAGCAGTGGGACTGCTGGAAGAAGGGCCGCAGGCCACAGGTCGGGCTTCGGATCCAAAAACCGCGTCCAGGCGCCGGCTGGTCCGCAGGTTTCCACGGGCCGAATCTGACCCCCGGTTTGGGGTTCGGATACCCCTGTTAAAGAACATTCCATGAAACACTCTTGGATGCATAATAGGACCGTAGATAGTCGCTGACAGCTTACAAAGACCCTGGGAGTGGCAAATCCGGAACAACTTTTTATCGCTTCACAACCCATTGGGTGCGTGCGACACCTGAGAGGAGGGGGAGAGGGGCGCACCGCTCCTCCTTGACAGCTGGTGTGCAGCGCCGTTGACAACAGCGTCTACGTTACGTCGCACAGTGCAGCGCTGCCCGCTCCGACCTCTTCTAACGCTCCCGCGACGTCTTGGCTACGTTTGCGTCCTTCAACGGCCGCAAGTTTCTCCACCTCGCTCCGGAGCTAAGGTTTTTGTTCACCTTGACATTTAAAAACGAAGCAATGTCAAGCGTTCATCTCGAAAAGCATTAGATTCTACTGTGTCCTTTTCAAAATTGGCATTTGTGGAAGTTCGTGGACGCCCGTTTCAGTGGATCGTCATTTCTGTAAGACAAAAGAAGGTCAGCAATGGCGGCTTTAATCTGGCGCGTGTGTAAAGCATCTATATAGAGTAACCTACCGACAAGGTAACTGAATTTTTAAACTTTCGCCAATTATATTTCGCCACAGGTGACGGAGTGAATAACAAAAAGAACAAAGAAAACAATATTATTCAAAACCGCCATCTTTAGACTGCAGACAGGTGCGCTCCGGAACCTTCAACTGAGTTTAGCATACATATTTCAACCAATTAGGAAAAGTTGGCCGCGCCACCGAGCTCGCCCTTGTCATTGGCTAAACTGTCAGGCGGGTTTCTGTAAGTCAGGTATTTATCTTGTTTTCTTCGGTTGATCACATCGATTTGCTTCTAGCGTGGCGTGGGGGAAAGTAGACGAGCAGACGTGTTTCGTGCCTTTCTTTCTAATACAAAAAATGACAACTTAAAAATAAACTAAAGCGACTTAATATTAAAAAAAAGCAATCTTTTTTTTTTGATTTCCAGGATCTTAAGCATAACATTTTTATTTCAGAGTAATGCGCCAAATAGTCACCACGGCGCTTTCAAAAATTACGATGAAGCCCCTCTTTCTCGGAGTGTTCGGTTGGAGTAGAAATCGTGGCGTATTATGCAGAGATTTCGGCCTTTTCCGAGCCTTCCGCAAACCCCACCTGAGCGGTCAAGAACGCCGCACGGATTCACTGACAAGTGGCACGCGCAATGGTGTTGAAACCTCTCAATATGACGTCACACTCATCGTTTTCTTAATTTTTTTGCGCATCTAGGCGGAGAGCAATTTGCCTGCTTCTTGCGCAGGACTTGCGGCGAGTTCAAAACGACGCCGAGCTCTGATTGGTTTTGATTAAACGGATAGGGGGTAGTTCTCAATGCTAGATGCGTTGATGTCTACTATCTATTTTTTTTTTCAATCAGCCAATAAGAGTTTGGGATTTGGACATCATCGCAGCCCCTGTGCAAGGAGCAGACAAACTTGCGCTTCGCACAGCCTTTTGTTCTTGTATTTCTTTCAGGAAGCAGATGCGTGCTTCTCGCTCAGCATCGGCTCGTACGCCCGAAGCAAGGTTGTTCGTCTGGGTCCCGTTGTGTCCTACCAAGACAACGCTATTCTATCGGGAAGTGAGACCGCTCGCTTCGACGCTTTCGAATATCTGCAGGCGTTCGACCGCAAGGTTCGTTATGCTTAGTGCTTTACCCTCACTAATAGGTTGAACGCTTATCTTGCAACTTTCAACAAGGCTGAATTCAGACTGGTTGTATATTCATTATAAGGCATATCTGTATTCCAGGGGCGGATTCAAATGGAGGGAGAGGGATCGCAATCATTCCCCCCCCCCCCCCCCCAACTAAGCGCCACAGAGCTTTTTTTTATATAAAATATACTGCATACACCAACCCTTTTTTTAGAAAGATATGGGCAGTTTTTCTTGGAACGCCAAATATAAGATTAACATAATAGACCTGGGCAACGCTTCGATCGTGGCGTCACATCCGTCCGTGACGCCACTTCTCTCTAGAGGCTTGCTTTTCCCCTCCCCACTGCATGATCAATAAATCCTCCCTTGCCGCATTCTTGCTTGCCATTTTGGCTATTTTTCCAACACTCATTGTGTGTATAAGCGAAAAAGCGAGTTAAAAATATAGTCTGTTCAAACATACCGGAATCGACCCAGCTATAATATTAATAGTTTGTCGTATTCATTGCCACATCTTATGCGCTTGTACTTTCATGATCATTGTTTTATTAAATTACAAGCTACTATAGTTCTTTCTTCTCTTTCACCTTGATTTCAGCAATAGTCCTAGTTGTTAACGCGTTATAGCCTTGGTCACTGCTGCGCCATTGAACCCAAATCAATCAATCAATCAATCCGTCTAGAGCCCAATTTTTCCCAGCCATATCGACAAAGATGGCGCTAGCTTCTATACAAACAAGCAGCTTAACATTTAACTTGATAACTGAAAAACTAAAATCTAACTAAAACTTTAATTAAAAATATTTTAGACGCTTCAGGCTGATTTCGTTAGTGAAATAAAAAATTTTCAAGAATGCATTCGCCACCACAAATGCGACGTGAAGAAAAGCGACTTAGAATCAAGTGCCCTCGCCGAACACGTAGCGAAATAACATCTCTGCGTGCCCTTCCTGCACAAAGCAACACTGGTCGAAACATCTGCATCTCGAATCATGGTACATCCAGAGAAGGAAAGTAAATATCAACAGGTCGTCGAAAACTCTCCGAAACATGGCCGTCAAAGAGCTCCGCCACATCATGGAGAAACACGGACGCAGCCAGTCGCACACGCAGCGCACTACTGCGCCCTGGTGTCCAAGTTGACCGCCAAAGTGTCCCAAGGTTGTTCGGAGACGTTGAGAATTTTTTTTTTTTATTCTTAGGTCAGGGCTTTATTTTTTAGTCAGCCTATTCCTAACTAGACACATTTTTGACGAAAAGGTTTACTTTGAAATTTGGCCTGATTACCAAGCCCAAACGCAATACTTCCCAATATAGCCAACCGAAATATAATTCCATTAATCTCCTTCACTCAGACCTGGCTGATGCTCTTCATAGCCCTTCTGGTCCTTGCCTTCCTGATTTCTCTCCCGGACTGGTTAAAATCAAGAGAAGGCGGAAACCGGGGTTCAAGTCTTGGGGCGCAGATTCACGAGAACGCCTGGACGCTCTTCGGCTGCCTTCTTTGCGAGTGTGAGAACGGCTATGGCATTAAGTTTTTGTGTACGTGTGTGCGCGTGCTTGTGTGTGCATGTGCGTGCGCGGGTGTGCGTGCGTATGCGTGCTTGCGTGTGCGTGGGCGTGTACGCGAGTTCCTGTTTGCGTGTGCAAGTGCATTTGAGCGAGTGTGTGCTTCAGCGTGTGCGTGTTTGTGCTTTTGCGTGGTTGTGCCTACAGTAGCGGCATGTTTCAAAGCGCGCCGACGTCTTCAATTCCTTTGACGTTATTCCTTACAATTCCAGGTTTCCCCAAGCCGTTCGCCCGCATATCGCAGCGACTCCTCGTCGGCGTCTGGCTGGCAGCGGTCGTCATTTTGTCGAACACGTTCGCGAGTCTCCTCAAGTCGCGACATGCAGTCGGAAACTCCGTGCCCATCGCGGACAGCATCGTCGACGTGGCGGCTAGGTCATACCTCAGGCCTATCATTGCCGCGGGGACTTACTACGAACAGCTCGATAAGGTTCGTTGAGTCCTCACCATCTGAATTGCTCCTCGATAAGATCCTCAACGATGACGATATAAGTGATTTGTTGAAACCGAAGCATTTTGGTACATCTGGAGCCTCTAAAAAAGCTACTACTCTTGCGACTTACTACACATCAGCCGTCGTGGCACTTTAAATCATTGTCACCAATTATTCTAAGTGTTATCTCCAATTACGACAAACGTCCTCTAGAAATTTTAAAAAGTCGTTTACAAAAAAAGCAATATTGCCTGAGGTTGCTGCACTCGCAGTAAGAGGAGGTGTAGTACTTACTCCACTTGCCTCACATATAACACCCCAAAACAACCCCAAGCAGCACAGAGTTTGCCAATCATTGGCCAATGGCTGGCAATGGCCAATTGGTTAGTGGCCAGACAGTCGTAAGCCATTGGCCGATGACTGGACTATCTTTGGCCATGGGGCAATGGCTACCGGCCATCAGCCATAGGCTTAAAATTAGCCGATGAACGGCCACTATTTTTCTATCGGCCAAACGATCATCGGCCGCCATTTGCCAATGCTTCGCCAAAATCCATGCTTCTTGGTCCATTTCGAGGTTCAGACCACTGACGTGGAACCGATGCTACCAACTTTTAGGAGCGGCTTGGTGGCTTTGGCATATAACTTACTAAATAGCTAATGTTTGTATGAACGACTACAGCATAAAAACAGTAGCTTCTGCAGCAGGGCCATCAAAACCTTGAGTGTTTTCCTCTAGTCTTTAATGCGTACATCAAGCCGATCATGAAAGTCGATATTGTCGCTTCTACGACAGTGGATTGAACGTCGAATTATAGTTTTTGGGGTGTCATATATGGGAATAAGGGGTGTAAGTACAGCACCCCCTATTTGTGAGAGTGTGACTCTGCAACTGTAGCTTAGAAAGTCGTATTTTTTAGATTATAGCCATCTCAAACTGGCCATTCCAGGTGAGAAAGGTGCGTAGCGTATCACTAAGTGCCCTTTAGATGCAATCGCCTGACCATCTCTATGCGGACAAACGAATTCAAAGGACGCAGAAGGACTGTCTTCCGCGCAACTAATGCGAGAGTCAAAGGGATCGTTGGATGTGTAAATTAACCGCATAAATCGGTTTCCTAACGTATCAGGAGAAGATTTTTTTTACCGACGCGGCCGAAGACGCTTTACTTTGTGTGTCAGTATTTCAGGGAATGAGCCTAGACGAGTGAAGTGTAAGAAATGAAGAGTGTGACTTCGCTTCCTATGGAGGCTACCGCTAGCAACAAGCGTGTGATTGGTGCAGTAGCCAACAGATGACGGCAGCTGTTGACTTATGAATGGAGTTCCGCGTTTTCGGTGTTTATTTTTGTTTTTCAAGTTGATGGTAGGGGGGGGGGGGTGCTCGTTTTTCGGGGTTAATTTTTCTCATCAGATTCGGTGCTTTTGTGTAATTTGGCTAAGTTATAACCAGTTTACAAAAAAAAAATGAATCTGTAAGAAAACTACCCCCCCCCCCCCCCCCCCCGCAAAAAAAAGCGCATTCGAAATACAAAATAATAAACACCGACAATAGAGAACCCTACTTATGAACGAATGAGCCGCACAAAAAAAAAAAATCTTTTGTTTCATTAAATGTTTGTTCAATGTGTTTTATTAGTAATAATAACCAAATCGTGCACTACAAAAAAAAAATAGCCTGCGCCGCGTTTGACCAAAGAACATCTGCTTTCAGAGATCAGTATCTGCGCCATAGCTCTTACCCGCCTGCATATGTTGGTTGTTCCGTCAATCAGACACCGTTCACTAGCAAAAAACCGTCAGTGAATTCACGCTCTTCATGTGTAACTCATACTCAATCAGGCAAATCACTTTTTTGAACTTTTGATGCACAAATTGCACTGCCTTCGACCACACCTGTACATCTTAGTTCGGTACGTTCAAGGGGCACTCAAATGGACTTTGAGATCGTTTCTTTATAATGATTCCTATATGTACGGACTCTGAGCAACCTAAAACAAATTTTATCGAGGAGGTGAGAACCCGATGATAACCCGCGCTCTTTCACGAAGAGAAAACAGTGGCCGTGCATTACTCTTCCTGTGAGTTTACTAGAATGTCTTGCCATCAAGAACCGGTAATTTTATTGACTCAAGCCCAACAAAAATATGCCATTAAAAAAAAAAAAAAACTCCTACAAGAAACACTTGAGTTCTACTTGAAGAAACCAATTCATGAGCCCCTTTTAATTAGCTAATGGTTCTTTTGAACCAAAAGGACGGTACTTTTTCTGTGAAGAGGTTTCGACGTGTTCGTCCTGCTTTTCCCTTCACAGAACTTGTCACGCCACCCAATATTCCTCTTTGCCCCCTAGTTACTAAAATCTAGCACATCGCATCCCGCAAAAAAAAAAAAACAAATTAGATGTACGTCGTTTGTTATTTCGTTATTTCATGGAACGAATCGCGCCGCTCGTGAGGCACGAGGTACCTCGTATCGCCACGGTAATTGCACCGTAAATTGGAATGATTCCTTTACAAATAGCCAATATGTTTGCCAACGCTGCCTCCAAGTTACCTTCCCTGAGTTCGCACATGCGTAGATCTCTTCTCGGAAAAGGTACATCGCATCCGCTCTGAACTAATTGGCGAAATGGCGGTACTCAAAACAGAATCTATGCATTGAATGCGTATACTCTGAGCAGAGCCTCCACTCTGGCCGTGCTTTATGTGACCTCCTTTACAGCTAGCTACCTACACCCGCTGATATTACTGTAAGAAGGGTGGGGGCGCATACGAGCTGGTGAAAAGTTGATATAACTTAATCAGTGCCAGGTAAGAAAAGAAAAGAAACAAAAAAGGAAGCGACAGTGAACAACGCGTTTCTTTTTTGTGTGTTTCCTTTCCTACCCTGTTTCAGTTTGCCTTGATACTAGAGTGTTTGTCGCCTCCCATCTACGGATGTGAAGTCCTGGCGCCGGGACCTCGTTTGACACAGGACTCAAGCTCACCCCACGTGAAGAAAGTATGGGAAATGGCCCGCAAGAAGAAGGGAATGGTACCCCTGCACACCTTCTTCTCCGATGGAAACCTTCGACAGGTGGCGGAGCGGCAAGCCGTCATGGCCATGGAGCGAGGTTCCATGCTCTTCAACATGGCTGCCTTCTGCGAACGCGAAGGCGTGCGCAATTTCTACGTGGCCCAGCAGCTTATAGAGCAGACGCCCTTCGTGTACATGTTTTCCAAGCACCTGGATCGCCGGATCTACGAAGAAATATTCAAGAAGTAAGTGCAGTGTGCCTCACGGGATGAACTAGGGTTGTCGCGTACCTGCCAACGATCGAGTACGGCAAGGATAGACTTTTGCAAACACTTACTGAAAAAGTTTGACAAACTTCGAACTCACGCTTGACTATTCTGGGCATGCACAAAAAATTAAAAAAAAAACAGTGTATTGTTTCTCTTTAACAAATATTTATGCTCTCTTTCATTCCTAATACACAACGCTGCTTGAGAACGCGTGCAAATTAGCAACGAGATCAAGCCCCATGCTAGCGCTAGCCGCTTTGACAGCGTTGCAAGTCAAGTAGGAAACAGGGTGTAGACAATGAAATGTGAATATTAACACAAAAAGTGTTTTCTCTCTCTATTTACATAAAGTTTTGTTTCGTTTGGCCGTAATGGCCGCCTTTAACGGTCCGCTCTAGCAGAAGACCGATTCCGAAAAGCGTTACGCCCTGAAGGGAACATTACCCACCACCTTCGGATTGTGAGCCGAGTGATTCGCCGGCTGAGCTATTCATTTTTGTTTTTTTTTGTTTATCAGACTGAGCTATCCAGGGTCGAGAATGCGAGCATGAAAATGCGCGATAATTCGCGCGGGGCGCGAACGCGCGGCCGAGTGCTTCGCGGCTTTTCCTGTTAGGTCGCACCATCTCCCGGCGTGCGTCAGAAATAAAAGCAAATCTTGGTTAGAAGAGAAGGGCCTTTCGGGTGCCCTTCTCTTCTTTCCTGGAAGGCCTATTGTCAGGAATGGCAATTGATAAGGCGACGAATAACTAAAAGAAACTGAACGTTTCATGTGGCGAATTTGCGCTGAAAACAAAATAGAAGGAAGCTAGCGTTGCAGTCGTCGATGGCGGTGTAACCGCAGGATCGAGCGCCCGGGCGAGACGTCCCAGACAGCACAAGGTATTGGGCCAATATTGGAAGAGCATTGGCAAAAAAAGGTTTAATGATGGTCCACTTTAGCCAATCTGCTCCCAATATTGTCTATGTCATAATATAGAATCTTCATTGATGGCGCAGCTTCTCCAATGACCAACCAATATTGGAAGCACATTGACATAAAATGGACAATCTTGCCCCGTCAGTTCCATTCGCTTGCGAATATTGAATGAAGACTGGCAAAACATGGTCACTGTTGGCCTTACAGTTCCATTGGCTTGCAAATATTGGATGAACAGTGACAGAAAATGGGCAATGTTGGCCTGTCAGTTCCATTGGCTTGCAAATATTGAATGAACACTGGTATAAAATGGGCAATCTTGGCCTGTAAGTTTCATTGGCTTGCGAATGTTGGATGAATACTGGCGTAAACCGGACAATTTTGGCCTTTCAGTTTCATTGCCTTCGAATATTAGATGAACAATGGTATAAAATGGCAATCTTGGCCTGTCAGTTGCATTGGCTTGCGAATATTAGATGAATGAATACTGGCCTAAAACGAACAATGTTGGCCTTTGAGTACCCTTGGCTTGCTAACATTGGATGAGCACTGGAATAAAATGGTCAACGTTGGCCTGTCCGTGCCGTTGACATTCTAATATTAATGGTACTGGCATAAAATGGACACTGTTGGCTTGTCTCTTGCATTGGCTTGCCAATGTTGGATAAACACGACCTTACAATGGTAACTGTTGTCTTGTTTGTACCATTGGCTCATCTTCATTTCAAGAACAGAGTGGCATATAATGATCATTGTGTGTGTTATTCTGACAATATCATTAGCTTAATGGTGGAAGCATGTTGGAATAGGCTGGTTAAGGCGTGTTCGTTTTACCTCAACAAGCTGAAATCGCTCGAGCGCTTGTCAATTTTATGTTATTTTGTCAAAGCGCGATTCAGTTGCTTTTTTTGCAAAGTAAACAAGACAATACCAAGGTAGAGAACTTAATGGTGATGTTTTTCTCCTTCAATGTGCATATTAAGGAGTCTCCAGCAATATGGGCTCATCAGGACCACCAACAGGAAAAAAAACGATGTCCGCGTTATAGAGTCAACATAATAGATCATTATATTGACTCTATGATCTCGATAGAAAAGCTTCGTACCCTAACTACGGGCTTGTGGACTGCACCTCGTATCAGGAGAAGAACTTCTTTGCTATTGACTCGAACAAGACACTATTCTGAAATGTGGTTATACAATGACGGCTCTATGACTTTACCGCACCACTGACGCCACATTGAGAGCCCTAATGCCTCCTACATGGCGCCGAGGCACGGATAGAATTGTCTAGCCGTATGTTGGTCTTGATTTCGAGTCTAGCCCCTTTTTTCCGCATTTCATTTATCACTGTCTTTTTAATTTTGACATTAGGCTCCTAGCTGATTTTGGAGCTTCGTGTCTGTCAGTACCTTTCGTCCTCTTGCTGTAGAGTTATCATGTCTAAGCAATCTCTACTACATTGGTTTCTGGAAACCCGGATAGCAAATACCACCACAGACAAACGAAAGAATTCGAGAGAGAGAAGTGTGCGTTGGAGGGTGCCTCGGAACGGCTTCGGAAAGGGCGAGAGAGGGTATTGAGAGATCAGTTCCCTTCCCGTTTCGCCCACGCCATCACTAATCTCTCCGAATCTCTCCTTTGTGAGCGAAGAGGACTCGGCGTCCTTGAGGGAGGAGGACACTGCGCATTCCTAAGCTGACAGTGCTGGGGGTACGCGCCGGCCGGACCAATAATCACCTGCACCACGTGGTTACGGGAGAGAGCGTGATCACGTGAATAAAAATAGACCTGCGATTGGTTCATCGAGCTTCTTAGCTTCCTCTGCCCTCTCAGCTTAGGGGTGATGGAGTCCAGCCCGCGAAATACACGCACACACATGCACGAACACACACACAGAAAGTGGAATCGCGTGCACCAAGGCCACACGATAAGGTAGTGAGTGGGAGACGGTGGGGACGGGTCTCCTCAATTTCCAACACGCGCATCCACGAACTGCAAGTGGGCAGATACGCTTCCCAATTTATGCATGTTTTTTTTTGTTTGGTTTTTGAGGCAGAAATAGCTCGTTTCTCCCAGGAACAAGAATGGCAAGATAATCATGCGGATATCAGTACACCGTAGTGTCCGTTTTTAAGTTTTCTGAGTTTTATCGGGCGAAGCGACTCGGCATCTTCGACATCCACGCTACCCTATACTGGAACCGGCAAGAACGGTGGTTCTAGAGTTCCGATCACCAGCAGCACATTTCATCTTAGTGCCAAGTGCGATCTTCAACATGCGAATTGCCAAGACCATGGATATTCTTTCGTCAGTGCCTACACACCGGTGATCTTCCTTTGTTGTGGGCATACATGTGACCACTAGCTTCGACGGACCGAAGACACGACGGACCATTCGGAACCGTGCAGATCTAAATCAAGCCCCGACCAGGGCGCCCCTAGCGGCAAACGGGTCCGTTGCATCGGGCATCTTCTGCCAGTCGCTGCGTTGGCTGTGCGTTGTAGTGGGTTAGCGCTGTAATTTTTGAGATGGCTATTTCGCACCAAGAAAGCTGCAACAATTGCTGCGTGGTCGGCAAGATCGCGCACGGCACGAAGTACTACATCGTCCCTTCGAAGCCGTACGAGGCGGAGTACTGCGCGACCTGGGTTCGACTTGTGCGTCCATACAGGTTAGTGGTGTTTCTTACCTTCCAGTTCGGGCTTTGTTTAAGCTGCTGACAAATAATACAATTAACTTTTTTTCTCTTCTAGCGACGATAGAACAGCATCGACACCGACGGCAAACTCTAAAGTATGCAGCAAATACTTCACCGGAGTCGAGAAGCGGAATGCGGTCGCCCTCTTAAGCCTACCCTTGGATGTTTCCATCAGCCTACAGGAAGATAGTAAAGAGAATCGCGGAACGGCGCGAGAAAAAAATCGCCCAGTTATTGGCAAGCTGATTCAGAAATAAACGTACATAATTACAGCAGCCCACTCAACGCCAACTAAATTTTTTTGCGGGCGCGCTTAATTTTGTTTGCATAGTACGGCGCTCCTTGACATCTACTTGTCCGTTGAAACGGACCTCCTTCACGTCGTACACGCGGCCAGATTCATGAAACAGTTTTCTCTTCGTCATATTAGCACCACGGAAGAAGCTTTCTGGATTCGTAACCGTTTTAAACCCCGTCGTCATTACCCCGGGAACACTGTCCGCTGTGCTGCTAATCGCCACTGCTTCCCCCCGATGATTCTGCACCGGCTACCGAAGAAGCTTTTCGGATTCGTAGTCGGCCACTGTCCTCTGTGCTGTCCGTTGCTATTACTTCGCGATGATTCTGAGCCGGCGGCACCGGCTTCCGAAGGAACTTTCCGAACTCGTAACTGCCTTAAATTCCGTCGTAATCACGACGGGGACGCTATCCGCAGTGCTGTTCGTCGCCATTGCTGCCCGATGCTCCTGCGGCGGCTACCGCCAGGTCGCGGCGAACAATAGGCGACTGCCGCGATACGGCCGGCTTGCTCGCTTCCTATGTGAGTGACAACGATAGGTCCTCCTGACCATTGGGGATAGGTGTCCTTGCTCCGAAATGTACGTTTTGTCACTATCCGATGAGTTTGAACCGTGTCGAAGGCTCTGTGCCAGGAATCTCCGACGAGTTCAACGTACAGTCCACAGCGATCGGCCCGAAAGCCCCTGTACAGCGCTATTTGTAAGTGCTTTTTATTCTAATAGACCGTGAAAGACGTTCTGATTGGTTATTTCTGTATTCGAAGTCATTTTTATTTAATTTTTCTTGTTAAAATTGGCTGTCTTCTTGACGGTAGATGTGTGCTGCAGTAAAAAGTCCTCCTGGTATGTCCAAAGCCGAATACCACAGTGCGTTGAGTAGTCCTTATTTGCCAAGGTTCGGCTTGGGTGCGAGTGGAGTGCCAGTTATCTCACCGCGCTATGCGAGTGTAATTGCCAGTAATTCTCTTTACACGATATGCTATTTTATGTGCGTGATTTATTTTAAATTCTTGATTGATTAAAGCATCAAGTTCTATTCAGCTGTCATGTTCTTACGTATAA